TATCACCACATGGAGTAAACAGAAATAATGTTGGCTGTATTTTTGATACAAGGGTTGGAAGAGCTCAGTTATAACAGCACTTTACTTGGTAAAGTAGCAATGAAAGTTGTTGAAAAGATATTCAGAAGCTGTGACGTGTCTGTACCTACAAAGATAAGAATCACAATACACCATGGAAGCAAAAGTTGGACTTTGAAGAAGCAGTATAGAAACAGCATTGATGCTTTTAAACTTTGGTGTTGGTGAAGAGTCCTAAGAATACTATGGACAAGAAAATGAACAAATAGATCATAGAACAAATTAATCCAGAGTTTTGAAAAAGAGGACAAGCAGCAGCAAAGTGGAAGCACTAATTTAAAACGGGAATAGGTGCACCATTGGAAGATCTGAAGGACCGGGCTGGGGACACAGAGTCTTGGAGAATATATATCTATATGGCTCCTAACAGTCAATGACTTGATGGTGCATACACTATCAATACATTTACCATTTATACTAATTTATAATTTTTGCCTATTCACTTGTGCCTCTTTAAAGATTTAAAACATCCGTGATTTTAAATAGCTTATTGCAGATATTTTCCATCTGATATAATATTGTAAGACAATAACTCAATTTTAATATGTCTCTCAGATAACTATTTTGCAGTTAATTGAAAAACTGATTGTAACTGGCCATCTAAATTAATTGTGTATCACAGCTTCCAGAAGTAAAACTCTGTGTGAGATAGTTTTTGTGGTTTATTATACACACAAACAAGAGTGAGTCTTGATCAATACATTATTATGGACCAAACAACAAAGTTGTATTGTCATAAGTATTTTTACTGCAATGTGAAAGCAGCTGGTGAATAGCATTAGCAAAAGAGTGATGGAGAAGTTCTTAAAAACAAAATACCTAATTTCTGTTAAGACAGATGTATGAAAATGTGAAATAGTTGATAAAGCAAAATACTCTTTGCTACCTGAAATTCTTTATAGGCCTGCTAGTTCAGTGGCAACCTCTTCATATTTTATTCTGTCTATGCTTATTGGCTTGCCATATTTGAGAAAGAGTAGGAATAGTAAAATGAACATTATTTACTTTTGCTATCTCATCTTGTTGAACGAATTTTAACTCTTTTCCCCTGGTCCATTTGTTATTTATTTAATTTCTGTTCTTGGAAAAAACTCAGGCAGTGTTCATTGTTCTCCCTGTCTCTTTATTATCACAACCATCTTGAAAAGTAGATTAAGCTGCAAGATAGCAGCTGGTCCAAAGTACTAGTGGCTGTTCTAGATGTACGTATTTGGGATTAGAACCTAGATCAATCAAGTCCATGAGCTATATGCTTTCTATATGTTTCCCAAAATGTGTCAGCTGACTGCCTGTATCACACTGGTATAGATTTGGTACGTTTCCATGTGTAATAATACTTTAAAAAAGCAGTTCAGGATGACAGCATGACACATGCTTGCCACTTATAAGGGTGCAGACTTGAAGCAAGCATTTAAAGAAACTATCATACTCTAGGAAGCTCCTACAGAAGTACCAGCACTGAGGTATGAATCACCCTAAAATGACACTTAAGCAGAGAAATGTTCGTTTTTCTTTTTATCTGTTACCTTTATTATTTCCTATCAGGCAACAGATACAGCACCAGCCACTTGTTCATCTGGAAGAAAATTCAGTTAGCAGAAGGAAGGAAAAAAAAATGTTTTCCTTCCTACTTCCTTTCCAGAGTACATTATTGAAAGTCTTTGTCAATTGAAGAGCCTGTGATGCAGGCCAGGGATAACAAAGACACAGTAATGCAGAATATTGGATAATTCTTATTTTCTTTCTATTACATATTAAGACTGTGATTATGTCACATCCATGACTTCAAACCAGATGTTCCCCCCTTTTCTCTGCTTATTTGATGAAGATCTCAACAATTCACCCACAATTTGTGTATATTTGTTTGATCTTAATAAAGATATTACCGGATGAATTTTTCATATGTGTGGATCTGCATGTAATATAATTTTTTGTAATGTGGTTCAGTGAATCCAAATCAATTCAATCTATTTAAATTAGATATTGGAAATGTCTTTTTCTATGTTCAACCAATTTCTGTTTGTAATTAAAAGACTTTTCTTTGAAAGAATTTATTCTATGGAAAAAAAAAAGCATTAGAATCAACTATGGTTCAAAGTTGCCATATATACAGGAATTCTGTATGTAGGAATTTTTCCATTCCTGCACTCATACATGAAATGTAGCACTAAATTCACAACTAGAGCAAAAATATATCTGAGGAAATGTGGAAGGTAATTTGAGAGAGAAAAAAAAATCTTTTTTCTTTTGTTCCAACTTGGGGTTGTTTACTGTTAAAAGAGGATTTTACATGCAATGGAGTAAGCCTTATATTTCAGGTTTGATGAACTACTTAACCACATCAAAACTGACTTGATAGTTGACATAGTTTTACCTCCCTAAACACTGTCTTAATGTTCATATAGATGGTGGTTATTTCTCTCATACTTTGCCCAGATGAGTTGAAGGTTGGTTCCTTCCTCTTTGCTGTTGGAAAAGTGAAGCCATCATCATCATCATCATCATCATCATCATCATCATCATCATCATCATCCCCTAAACAAACAAACAAACAAATTGCCAAACAAACAGAGATTGTGAGAAAGAAAATAGAGAAAGGTGGAATCTTATTTTCCAGTCCATTTTTATGCAAAAGATATAGCTGGTGATTGAAGGTAATATCATTTGACATGTACCAATACTCACTATCTTATAAAATCCCATTGACAATCCTTAGCTTCCTGACACTGTTATATCTTTTCACTATTTCACTTGTTTCTCTTTGAGTGGACATTGGCAAATATGGAAGAAATAGCCTACCTCTATATTATCTTTCCTTCTGCATGGTTACATGGGTCCTAGAGGAAAAGGGCATATAATATATAATAGCAGAAGCAGTGAGGCAATAAGGGACTACTGGAGAAGAAGGCTTAAATAGTTGATGATGAGAAAGATTCTTGCCTCACATATTTGAGAATCTGCGAGAAAGGATGGACAATAAATGGACACAAAATTAAAGTATGTATAAGGAAGCTTTCTATACTATTGTGTTGGGTCTCTCTCAGAGTTATATGCTCCTGTTGATGTCATAACAATCTGAAATCAATGTGCACACAGTCCCCCACAGAATACAGAAGTGCTGCAACAGCTGCCACAGCTATTCTAGTAAGAGACATTCTGCCATAAAGCATTACTAGGGAGGCATAACAACACTATCAGGAAGGTGATAACGATAGAATGGATCAGTACCCATTCTGGTTCTTTTCCTTCCGAGCTCCCTCAGTGCCCCTTTTTCAGCCATTAATTGCTACAATATTCCATACCATTTCTCATTGTTCTGAGCAATCAGCAGTGCTGTCAATATAAAATGCTGGAGATGATGATATTGCTAGCATAACACTATACCATGGCACAGGGATTTTGAGCACTTTTTCTAATCTGTCATAAATCCCATTTCCCATTGTGGCAGCAAATCATAACACCTTCACTGGTTAGCTATCATGTTATAATGTCTCTGAGACTATTTTCTTTCTTTGTGTGTATGATTTTTCAGAGAATAGATCTGACTTGGGCCTTCATGCTTCACAACATCTAGCTAATCTCTAAACATTATACTGTGTAATACCACAGGGAAAGAAAAAAATGCATAATGCCTGTATCCATCTTTTTAATGATCCGAATTTCATGAAAATAAGACTATTAGAGGTACTTAAGGTGATTTGAAAACTAAACCCTATTGATTTAATAGGAACAGGAACTGGCACCGAATAGCAGTTGAAAAAAAAAATCCACCTTGATCTCTATTATGGGCTAAATAATATTTACAGGAAAAAAATCCCAATATTTTTGGGCTTTAAACACAGGTAGCCCGACTGTATTTGAACGGTATTTGTGTATGTGTGTAGGAGAATATCACGTTGTAGGGTTTTAAAGCTGGGATTACTTCTACAGGTAAGAATGAATTATTTGTTACCAAATCATCAGGCTGAACTGCTTGTCTCAGCATGTATTATGCCTTGCTTGGTGGTTGATAATGTCCGCTCCATTTCAGAGTGGGAAAGGAAGCAACAGCAGATTTCTTTATTCGTTGATGGGCCAACATATCAAGCCAGTTGCTCTGTTTGGATTGATAGGTGACAAATTGTATAAGCTATAAGAATGAGCTCTGCTGCTTCCAAACAACAGCTCTTTTTCTGGAAGAGAAAGTATTATCTAAAGCAGTGATTCTCAACCTTTTTGAAGCTGCTGCCCCTCCTAAGGAGCGGAAAATTTTTCAACGCCACCCTTTGTGAAAATCCTGTAATTTAG